CTCGGATTGAAGGAACGAATTGAACCCCACAATGTTGAACCTCGAGACCAAACCACCGAAAAGCTCCCCCTGTCCTCTTCACTCCTCTCCCAGACACTCCTCAAATCATGACAACTTCATCGTCAATTTCATGGGACTAAACTGAAACAAGGGGCCTCCCCCCATCCCTTGAAAAACAAAACAGGTTGGTGGAGGTCCTGAGAGTGACCCCATTTATACCTGTGCCGCACCAGGTCCGGTTCCCACGGGCTGCCTAGGTAGGAAACATTTTTCTCACTCCAAGTCCCATAAAATAATGACCACACAAACACCTGTTGTGTGCCAGAGGCCGGGTGCACTTTAAAAGCTGGCGTCAGGGGAATGCAGAGAGAAAAACAAGACCTGCAGAGGCAGCCAGGAGCCAATCTGGTCAATAGATTTCTCGACTAGGCAAAACAGCAGGCAAAAGATGAGCTTCCTGGTGAACAGGAGCTGCCTTCCCAACCAGGCTTGGGAAATGCCTCAGCACATGCTGGCTGGGATGGCTAAGAATAATCCATTCGAGAAACAAAGAGTGCTGTCCAGTTGTCCTGCCCGCCAGCCCTGAACCTCTCCTCTCCCTCCCTCCCTGCTCCGGACAGAACACCAGCCCTGGAGAAGTCGGTGCAGGAACATTATACGTGGGATACAAAACCCAAAGCCCTTCGTGAAATCAAACGTTCCTTAGGACGTTTATTTTTAGGTTGGCGGCACCATCCAAATCTGCTTAATTTCCATTAACCACATGGTCACATGCACACGGAAATAAACTATAAACGTCCCGTCCCAGGGAGGAGCGGGAAGAAAAAACAACCGTCATGCATAAGATACCCCAAATTTGGCCAAGTATGCCCGTTTCAGGAACCCGCCTCATCTCATGGGGCTGCTGCCGCTCAGGCTTTTGGCACCTCTAACTTTAATTCATCCAAGTACCAGACAAGAGAAATAGTTTTAAAAATCAGTTGAAGACGGTTTCTTGGATAGTGCCCGTATCACTAAAAGGTCTGCAGACTGGGGTAACAAGCCATCCTTCAGAAAACAGACAGGCCCACCTGCGAGTTTCCTGGGCTTCCTGGCTGCTCTCATAAGCTCCGTGTTTGATCACCTGGTGGGTTTTTTCTACCACCAAGTTAAAAAAAAAAAAAACCCTGCCAACAGTAAAAAGTATATACCAAACCTCATGCACAAAGTTCACCTGTCAAATTATTTCAGAGATGCCTTTCTTGGACTTATTTTCTTTACAAAACAAACCCCTACCTGTTTGGGGCTTTTATGTGCACTGAATTCAAAAACATACTTAAAAAGAAAAAAAAAAAAAAAAAAAAGACCAATACTGCTGTCTTAGCACAAATGGCATTTACTATGACTCGAATCTATGAAAGGACTGTGACATCTAACAGGATGAGAAAGGAAAGGAAAAAGCCCTTAGCAAAAAAAAAAAAAAAAATAAAAAAAAAAAACAACAATACCAACGGAGCCAAGCTCTCAAAACCCTCTCTCCGGCACAGAGAAACAGCTCACACTCAGTGCCTTGAAGTTGCAATTAAATTGTAGTAATTTAAGATTATCGGGAGAGCAAAGGCCAGGGGGAGCTCTTTGGAAGGCTTCCCTCCCCACTTAATGCTTTTCAGCCAGGGGGTTAAATGAGTTTCTTTAATGTAAGTACCTTAAAGTAACTGAATCATAAACAAAATTTATACTATTTTCTGACAGCCTGCAATCTATTTAAATTTTATTAACATGTCCTTAAAATTATTTTTAAAAGACAAAACTCTTGCTAGACTCTGTAAATATTCTTGGCATACCCAACGATGGGCCCTCCAAGCCTAACCATCCCTGAGCAAGCATACTTTTTGGTGACTCGGAATCTTACAAGATAATGTTTCAAAACCAAGCCTGAATCTTCACTAAAACATGGAGACAAAATAAATACGCACACTGTGGCTAGCTGCAAAGAGGAAGCGGGCACAAATCAAATAGCCTCCTCTACTAGAGTCTCCCTTCTCTCAATTTTGGCATTGACCTTGATGTGGTATAAATACATGTGTTTGGGGAAAAATATCCCAATTCTTTCTCTGTTAGTTTAAACAACTGGTGAAAACACAATACCTGTCAACAGAGCCTTAGAATGCAAATTGACAAGGTCAGGGGTATGGTTTTCAGAGAAGCAAAGAAAAACTTGGTAACAGAAAAGGAAAAAAAAAAAAACATGCCTGGGCTCAATATTAACTCAGTTAACTTCTGCTATTGTTGGTACAAATGATTTAACCAGAAAATATTTATAGCTTTCTAAAAACATTACATATTGCAGAAAATTGCCTAACAGCATCCATGTGTATGTTTAACTCCATTGCTTAATTATACAATAAAGGTATAGCCAATAAAACCTGCAGGCTTTGAAACATATTGTGCACAATGGTTATGAAACTCTGGCTTATAAAAAAAAAAAGTGCTTACTATGTGATCGACACTTGTTAATTAAAAATACAAGGCTTAAATGACAATTATTTTTATTCTTCCGTATGTGTTTACTTGTTCTATTTTCTACTTTGTTCTACTTAATTAAAAATGACATTTAATTTGGGGATAGTTTATAGCTGGGGGAAAAAAAAAGTGTTATACAGTTTATACTCTAGGATTTAAATATAAACACAAAATCTTACACACATCTCCAGCTATGTAAACCCCTTAATTTGAGACAGTGAATTTGAATAGTGGATGTTTCTTTCATTATACTTTGATAAACCTGTGAAAACAAAAATGCTAAAAGTAATTACTGTTACTACTTTCCTTAAAAATGTAAAGCAGTAAAATTTTCCTAGACAAGAGGCATGGTCAAGTTACAAAAAAACTTGAATAGAAGTAGCATCATGGTCATGCTGAATGTCAATCTAAAAAAAGGGGGGGTTATGTCTAATCTGGAGAATGCACTTTCCCCTTTTTAAATTCCAAGAGTGGGCTGACACTAAACTTTACCACCAAGGATTTTTCTTTCTTTTTTCTTTTCTTTATTTTTTCCTTTTTTTTTTTTTTTTTAGCTTCACATCAGATTTAAACCTTCACATACAAAACCCTAGCTTCCCTGATGAGGCAGATCTTCTAAGCTGGATGTGAGAAAATGTTATCTAACTCTAGTGTAGGAGTCTAATGTTGGTAAAAAGCATTCCACTGTACAGTTCTGGGTAGCAAGACAGCCTCCGGATGACTTGATAGTCTTTGAATACCTTTTTTTTTTTTGGGGGGGGGGGGAATTCTTCTTCTACAGAGAGGTGCATTTAAACAAACAACAACAAAATAATAATAGTAATATTATTATTATTAACTTGTTGAGCAACTCTGCTTCCATAAGAAAGCAACTGCAACCCAGAGAGGGGTTGAGTTATTCCCTTCCAAGTGAGCCTTCCCTTGCACAACAAAGATCAGCATTTGCAATGGTCCATTTCTGCATAAATGAACATATAGCCTTGCTGCTTGGTGGAATAGTCCAGGGCTCTCCACGTCCAGCTCCTGACAACAACCCAGCAGCAGTTCTGTTTGATCTCTCCTGCTTCCTTAATTTGGGTTGTCAAGGTTCAGCAGTTGGAGGCTGTTTACTTTACTTTTCCAAAAAAAAAAAAGTGATTTTTTTTTTCTCTCTCTCTCCTTTATACAATGACTAATCCAAAGTCTGGAGAGGGGGTGATGCAGCCAGTGGCAAGATGTTAAACCTTTTTTTTTCCCTTTGCAGTGAGATTCTTAGCTGACACCTTTTGAATGGTAAGGAGCTGAGTTGCTTTTTATATTTTTAATGCTCTCTAATTATGAGACCTTTCAAACGAAAGACAGGGGGTAAAAATTTAAAAAAAAAAAAAATTTAAATCCCAGATTTCTGAAAATATGATCCCAGTATGCTTTTCCTGGACTCAAAGAGGCGGGTATTTCTACTGTGAGAATCAAAACTCCAGAGGAATTCTAAAACAGAAATCAGCAGGAACTTCTGTCTCAATTATGCAGAATAGCCCTGAGTAGACAACACCTGAAGTCTTCCTATTTCCCTTCAAATTCTATTTAAGAAATCTCCCCCCAAATTGATTCTCAATGGAAAAAAATGAGAGTGGGGGTTGGGAGTGAGAAGGTAAAAATATTGCAGAAATTCTTCCACATATTTTCAACAGTAGAGAAATTCCTTAAATATCCTTGAGGCTTTCTTAACTCAGCTATTGATTGTACACGTCCTAAACCCTCAAGTCTGCCGACGAGCAAAGGTGAAGTGTGGAGGGTCTCAATTCCCAGTCTCCATCCAAAGGGAACCCAGAAGCTCGTGATTAAGGGGCAGTATCAAAATCAGAAACCCTAACTTAGGAAATACCTCCATCTGGACATAAGCGCACCCCCAACCCCACAGAAGAGCACTGGAGTGCCTCAGAGGCGACCGAATGAAATGTTTATATTAATCTCATTTTTCGGCTCAAGCCTCCCGGAGAGGAGGGCTTGGGGGTGGGGAGGAAGGGAAGACGAAGAAATAAGTTTCATTTTGGGTCTTCTGGTCGAGTAACAAGAAAATAAATTAGGAAGAGAGGGTAGAATGAGCCCAGGCTAAATCAATACACTTTGTAATCAGCCTAGCAAGGGTATTTGGACACAATGACTTGGAAATAATTAATAGTTTGAAGGGGGGAGTGGGGTGAGAAGGAGACCCAGGGATGTCACCATATTTTATCGAAGCACGTTACCCTCCACGCTAAACTTTGATCTCCCGATTTTCGGATTTAGGAAAGAAAGGGGGTAAAAAGGGAGAAAGAAAGTCCTGTATTTCGAAGCACCTACCGGCTGGAGGGTGGGCACATTCCTTGCTCTGGGCGCCTGATTGCTGCGCTCGCACCGCCCTGGCTGGCTCTTTGGACAGGGAAAAGCCCTGGTGCAGCCCGGGATTCTCGGGTGTCCCTAGCCCCGCGCCCCCCGCCCGCGTCTTCGCCCCGGCAGCCGCGGCCGCCCCGACTTACCCGCGGAGTCCGGGGAGGGATGGGAGCGCTGCCTTCACGCCCGCGGAGGCGGCGCCGGCAGCACCATCGTCCCCGGCGCGGCTGCCGCTGCCTTGGGCCCGCTCGCTCGCCGCGCGCTCTCTTCCTCCGGCAAACTTTCGGGGTCTGCGGTCGACAAGAAACCGGGGCGACTCTCTCAGCAAGTCTTTCCCCGTGCAGGTTGGGGGAAATCGAAGGGGACGGGACGGCTGAGTAGGCGGAGGGACCGAGACCAGAGAGGGCAGCGGGCTCGGAGGACCCTGAGAGCGCGTGGAGCAGAGAGGACGCGGCTCCGGGAATCCCAGCGAGGATCCCGAGACCGGGAAATCGGCCCGAGCCCAAGTCTCCGCACCTTCCCCAGGATCTCACAAAGTTGCAACAACAAAAAAAGAAGGGGGAGGGACGGGGGAAGGGGGTGGGATAGGGAGACGATCGCGGGCGCACGGTTTGGAGTTACAACTGTTTATTTAGTCCTTATTCTCTCAGGGGGCGGGAGCTGCGCGGCAAAGGGGGACTGCAGGCAGCGATTTCGAAGCAAACACTTGGGAGGGGGCATGCGACTTTGTTTCTGGGCGCGGAGCTCCCCGGCGCCCGTGTGTGTGTCACCGCCAGTCTCCGGGGACCGAGGCGGAGCTCACAACAGGTGGGGAGGGGGGCTCGCCGAGGGCCAAAAAGGAGAAGGAATCAAAGTTTCCGAGCGCGGCGGTGTCTGGGGAAGAGGGGGGCGGGAGGCGGGGGCGAGGGGAGGCGGAGGCAGCAAATGACCGCGACCCCGCGGCAGCTGGCAAACTCCTCGGCTCCTGGCGCCACCGCCACCGCCTTGGTCCCCACCCCAAGCGCACGCCGCCTCGGCTGGTCGGCTCCGGGGAGTCGTCTCTGCGGGACAGGAATGAAGCGCTGGGAGCTCGGGAGGAAGGCTGCGCGCAGGCGAGGAATGGAGAGCCATCGGTTGCCGGGACAAGGCTGGAGGGACGCGGCGACACGCGTGCGTCGCAGAACCGACCAGGGCTTTGGAAATCCCCCCACCCCATTCCCTAGGCTGGAGGGGTGGGGGGTGGGGGGGGTAAAACCAGAAAGTGTGCGTGGCGAAGGGAGGAGGATCCGGGTACTGCGATTCCTCGCAGCGCACCCTGTTCCCGTGCCCACCCGAGGATCTGGCCACGGCTGTTGCCGGCGCCTCTCGAGGAAGCCGGGGCCGCGGGGAAGGAACGCGCGTGGGGTTGTGTGTCTGGTGGAGGGTGCACGGGTGTGTGTCTCAGTTTTCAAGGATCCGGGGGCTAGCGGGAAAGCGTCCCCACTGCTGGGTTCGGGACAAGGCTCCCGTGGCTCCGGAGATGACCCCAAGCTTGGGGCCCAGGGCGCAGGCGTCCCTAATCAGTCCGCCAGGGCCCTCAGGGCAGCCCAGGGGCACCAAAGGGGCACACACCCGTGGAAAGGAAAGGGGAAAAGTTTGCTTCGAGTCCAAACTTTGAGCCCAGGAGGCACCCGCCGCATGTCCCCTCCCGCCGCTGCCCAGACCCGGGCCCTGCACCCGCCCCGCGCCCCAGTGGCCACCGGACGCCGACGCTGAACGCTGAAAGTTGCGACAGGCGGCCTGGGCTTATTGATTTCTCTAGCCCAGGCGATCGTGGAGAGCGCAGAGAGAGGCGGGAAGGAGCCGAGGAAGGCGATCTCGCCTTCTCGCAGCCCACACCGCACCACCCCCCCGTTTGACTTATGCAAATGGACCCAAGGGTGCGGGCGCCGCCGAGCTCCCCCACCCTTGCGCTGGCTCGCGGCCCCCACCCGGAGCCTGGGCCCGGACCTGGGGGAGAGAGGAAGAGGGGAGGGCTGGGGAGATGCACGTGGAGCCTGGAGGTGGAAAGTAGTTGTATTTTTTTTTCTTTTTTCTTTTTTTTTTCTTTTTTTTTTTGTGCTGGTTGTTGTTGTTGTTAAAGTGGCGGAAACAAGGCAGGAGGCGGCTTGGGAAAAAGTGGAGCAGAAATGGAAAAATACAAACTCACCCGCTGCAAATGGTCTCTCGGTGCAAACTAAGGTGTTTTCGGGCCTTTCCCCGCGCGCGCCCACTCCCGCCCGCGCGCGCGCCCCGCGCACACACTCACCCGCGCACACACACTCGCGCACACACGCGCGCACACACGCACTCCCGGGCGAGGGCCGGGCCGCCGCGTACAGCATGCCGCCGCCACACAATAAATAACAATAGATTCCTCCGCTGCGGACTAGCTTCCCGAGCCCCGCCGGCGCCCGCAGAGCGCACCATGCCGGCCCGGCCCGCCGCCCGCCTGCCCGCGGCCCGCTGCGCCCCGCGAGGCCCCCGGAGCCCCCGGACGTGAGCCGCGCCCGCCCCGGTCCCCGGGCGCTGCGCCCGCCCCCTCCCCCCGCATCCCGGAACAAATAAATAAATAAGGCGCGCGAGAGGCCACCACGTCGCGGAGGGAGATGTTGTTATTTTTTGCTGTTGTGCGTCCCTGACGTCACATCCACCTGCTGGGTAAACAACAGGGCTCGCAGCAAAAAAAAAAAATCGCAATTGCAAAAGCGGGGGATGGGGGCTAAGGCTGGGGGAGGGGAGGTGTGGGGCGACCCGGCTGGATGGAGAGAAGGGAGAGGCCGAGCCCCAAGAGCAGAGAGGAAGAAGGCCAGAGCAGTCCCTGGCAAGAGAAGAATCTGGCAGGAAAGACCTGGAAAATAAGGGGTTTGGGGGCGGGGAGCTCCTCAGAAGATGGGAAAGGGGGACTCCTGCAGACCCCGGAGAGATCGAGAGCCCGAGTGTTAACTCCTGGGGCCGAGATGAGAGCGCGATGGCTCTTTGCTGGTCTCCGAGCTGATCGTACCGAGGGAAGGGGAGAGGCGAGGCGGGGATGCGAGTTTCCTCAGTTAAAAGTGAAAGTGTTTGCCATCAGTGACAGCTGAGGCTCGGGGAGGTCGGCGGCGACATGGGCCCCTCTCTCCTCGCCCGTCCTCCCTCGGTCTCTCCTCTTTCTTTTCTGCACTTTGTCCAATGAAAGAAGGCGAGTTCGGGAGGTGAAAGTTCAGCAGAAGGACAAACCCCTGTTTGCAAGGAAACAGAAACCCCGCCAGCGAGGGGTTTTTCCTGGTATCGCGGCATCAGGAGAGAGTGCACGGCGGGGCGAGCTTCCCCCCTTCCCTGTCAGTCACTGCAGGAATGCACGGTCGGGCCCACTGGGGGGAAGTGGCTGCTTCGGGAACTGCGTTCCTGCCACGGCTCCTCTTAGGAAAACACCCGGGGGCTGGCATGTCAATCAGTTGTTTAACACAAACTACCTGCTCGCCCACAATCAGTCACGTGCAAAAGCTTTCCCAATTGTGCAAAGGTGAGATTTTTTTTTTTTTCTTTTGGCCGTTTTGAAGTTCGCTCGAATTTTAGAAATTTGAAGGAGGAAACGAGGAGCCCGAAGGAAATCTTTTTAAATATATACATCTATATTTTTTTTAAAAAAGGATACTAGTATTTCTTTCACTTTTATCAATATAAATAGAGGAAGAGGCCGAATTTATTTCCAAAACGTGACTTAGAAATATATAGGTCCTCCACTGGCTTGTTGCTATAACAGAAATAATTTTTTTTCAGATTCATCACCCCGGATGCTGCCAAACTCCCAAGCCAGCACGTACAGGTTCTAGCTGGATGGTTTACACCAGGCCAGTTCTTCATCAAAATGCCTCAGGAGCCAACCCTCTGAATTCCTACAAAGTACTTCCCGCAGGAGAGCGAGAGACTTGCTGTCCCTTTGGTCTTGACACTTAGCACAGTTGTAGATAACAAATATCCTGAAAGGGATATTATAAATTCTTTTGGGTGATGTACTTTTACAAATTCGGCTATACATTCATTGACAGGAGATTCAAATCTCCGTGTCAATGACAGGCTACCACTTACCACTTTTTAAAATTGTATCTGTTTTGCAAGTAAAAAAAATAAAATTAAAACCAAGCCATTCACTGGTGCTGTACAATCAGGCACAAGGGGCTGCGATCAGCTAGTTCCAGCACAGCAGCATCCATGCATGAGGCCCCGGCGCCAGGCTCCAGTCTACCCAGACAAAACCATCCGCCCGATCTTCTAGGCTAGAAACTGGATAGATGAAACGCATTTTAGTGTTGCGTTTCCTAGCTTCCCAGAGCTCCGTGTTCCTGTTGTCTTTGTCAAGACATTAACACATGTTCCCCTGTGTTCTAGACCATAGAGTGGGCTTTTAGAGATGCACAGATAAATAAAACTCCTGCCAGGAGCGCTGCAGCCTACAGCTGTCAATCATAACATCTAATATTTATTGAACGCTTTCTATGGCCTAGGCACTGATCTAAAAGCTTTATGTCAACTCACTTAATACTCTCCGCACCCCTTTGACAGCACTGGAAATTCCACATTCTGAATTCATATGGCATTATTCAAAAAAATCTACATAGTAGCCAGTCTATTGGGAAATTTTTGTTTTTAATTTCTATGATGTTTCTGCCAAATATAACTTGTTTATGATCCATGCCTGGTTGTAGAGAGTATCTCAGGGGAATAGCAATTTATTTAGACGTGACACATCTATTAATTGTCGGTGAGGTATCATCCTGATCTTGTTTTTCAGATAAGCCACATGGGTTGTGTTTTTTTTTTTTTTTTTATCATTATTGCCATACTAAAAAGATTCTTAGATTGCCACTGATCTCAGTCTGCATTTTAACTGCCTTAAATTCTACATTCATTTGCAAGTGGAGGCCAGAGTCAGGTTGGCAACAAGTTTGTAGACAAAAGGAAATCCTGGCTGTAAATCCCATAATATATGGCACTCTGCTTCATATGGGATGGTCTAATGCGGAGACTTATTAAGGAACAGCTAGCCCGCTGGGGCTCCCGTTCCAGGGAACTTACTGCAGCTTAACGTCTTGCTCATTGTCGACACCGTCACGTTACATTCGTAAGGAGCAGATTTTAATTTCTTTATCAGTAATCAACTGGAAGTTTCTTTTTGTTAAATTACAGCAAGAAGGGTTTTCAAATAAAGGGCATGGGGGTAGGACGCCACCTTTTGGTGATAAAAATAAATAGAAATCCTTTTTGGAAACATGTTCCTGACATAATTTTATTTTTAATTACACCCAGGCAATGGTGCTTGTCCCCGTTTCCTCATATTTTAAGGTACAGGAAAGAAAAAGAACAATATAAATGGACAATTAGCAAATTACTGCTAACTGCAGCCAGGATTTCCCCAGAAGTACCAGAATGTGTCGGTGTCCTGCCGCACACCGCCAACTAGACATCAGCCAGAGCCTTAATCTCCACGTACTGTGCCACGGAATATGTGCACATTTTGGGAAAAGGACTTGGAGTGGAGACAGTTGCCACCTCCTGAGATGCCTGAACTCCTGGAAGTTTAGAATTGAGCAGAAATCAGAACAACCTCGTTCAGTGTCTCTTAAACCAGAGTTAGCGCCTTCCCAATTTTTTTGCGCTACCTATATGACGTCGTTTCTACATAATCCTCACACTGTACTCACTGGTGAGCAGATGTGGTGGTGGTGGTGTACCATTTCCACTTCACATCAACCTACTTGGCATTTTTCTTTTACTACTTTCAGAGGGAATACGTGTCCGCCTCCATAAACAAGCACAGTGAAACAAGGTTACTGACTTCTCTTTGTGCAAGTTTAGCGAAAGGAAAGTAGAAAATGCATTAAAAGAGACTGACCAGGTACACTAAAGGTCCTGGAGACTTCTACAGATGCAAACCTCTCTGAAGGTTTTTCTTCTCCCCCTGCACGCCCCCGGGCTCTGGAACAAGCAGAAGGATTCAAAGTGATTGAAAATGATACAGTCCTCAGCATGGGAGTCTCCGCTCGCTAATGCCAGCCCGTGCCCAGGCTGCACAGCAGCGTTATCAGATTGCAGGTGAGGCCCTGGGATTTAAACCATTCTCCAGAGCCAAATGATTGGTTAGTGACTGGACGAGATGCGAACCCAGGAGTGCTGACCTGGTGAATTTGCATCTCACTTTTTCCACATTCACAGATGTGACCCATCCTCAGACCTCAGGCAGCATGCCTAGCTCCCCAGGAACAGCCATCCTGTGTATCCCTTTAGAGACATGGAGAAACCGAGGCCACGCTCAAGATCAAGTTCAACGCCCTTCTCAGCCTCTCGGATGTGGCAGACACCTGAGTGGGCAAACACAGGGCAGAGGGAGGGCTGCAGGGGCGGATTTGCAAGTGTGGGTGGGCCGTTCTCAAAATGAAAGCCAAAACCTTTGATTTCCCTCCCAGAAGGTGAAAAATACTAATGAAAATCACGTGTTTTACCCTAAGTGCCAGGAGGAGCCCATCCTCTCTGTGCCCATGCCCCTGTCTGTCCAAGCTGGAGGTCAGCAGGGTGTCTGCTGTTTTACCGTATATGATACCAACGGGTACTGAGACCCAGTCACATTTGCTAACTGTGTGGCTGGCAAAGTTAGCCAGGGGGGCCTGATCGACTCCAGCTTTGCAAGTATTTTCCTTAAAAACAAACTTCGCAGGCTCAGATTTAAATCTGGAGATGTAGTGTCCTTTGTGATATCCTAACCAGACAGGGGCTTTAGCTACCAAGACCGCATTTCCTGCCTTGTTTTATTTTGTTCCTTTAAAGGATGCAGTTGTATACACAGAAGTAAATATGGCCTGCCAACAGCTTTACGTTTTTCTAAATTGGTCCTTGTGACAAGAGGTTGCCAAGAACTCTACTGTATAGCAGTTGGCCCCAGGGACCAGATGGATTGGAGTCCCTCTGCATGACAATGCACAAGAAAGGACTTGGCCAGTTACCTTCATGCCAAAGAGCTGTCCCTGCGCCCTGAGCCCTGAGCACCCCTGCAAAATGTTGGTACCTCAAAGACACATGAAGGGAGTATCGGAGGCACAACCAGCTGCCAGTGCTAGATCCCTCTTGCCTCTAGCCTTGTTGTGCAAAGCATGATGTGCTCCCCTGTCACACACCTGAGGGCATCTTAAAATGCAGAATCTTGGCCCCACCGGAGGCCTACTGAATCAAAATCTGCATTTTTTGCAACAGCATCCACTGAGCCTCCCCCAGGCTGAGATGAAGTACTACAAGCAGCCACATCTGGGTCCTCTTTACAGCTTGGCACTATTTGACAGAAGTTCCCATGAGCCGTCCGTCGGTCATACCTGATTCTCCAAACGGGCATCTTTTATAAACATGGGTTAGTTTCTTCTTTTTTATCCACTTATAAAGTTAAGCCATTAAATCACCCATGTAAAGCATGATTAATTCCTTTGACATTAATAACAGGGTGACTTCTCTCTCCTGTTACCCCAAAGAGACTGCTAATTGCACTGCAATTGTTTACCTTTGTATTGTTTTATGAGAACTCAGGGAAAGATGGAAGATCTTCCCCACCAGGCCAGGAGCAAAACGCCAGACAGGTTTTGGAAAGCCTGAGCACATGCTATGACTACACCTTGTTAGTAGAAGGGCTTTGCTTTCTTTGTTTTGTTTTCTTTTTTATGGAAGGAATGACGCCTCCATAATTATAGGTGTTGCTGTTTAAATCTCAGAATGTTTTCCAAACCGTGGAGGGGCCACACCTCCAGCAGCCGCCTGTGAGCCATCGGGGTTGGACTCTCTCTCCAGCTCGATGAACAGTTTATAAAGACCCATCGGAGGGCGCCAGGATTTCCATGAGCTGGAGGGACAGCAAGGGGTCCTGGTCCGAGTAGGGCTGCTTCCTGCCTGGACATGAAGGACCCTCAGGTACTCTGCAGCCCTGGTGAGGTTCTCAGAGAGACGACAGTTGGTTCATTTCCCTACCGAGACAACAGGTTCCTTTTGTAACCCCCCAAAAAATAATTAAAACCATTGTTTTAATACTAGTCCTAAGGCGGTGTAATTAAGTCTCCGAGTGAGTAATTGTGTACCTGAATTCAAAATAAGATTTCACATGTAAAGCAAAGTTCTGATGCTAATCTCTGAGAAGTGTCTTGGCTTAGGTTTAGACTGCACAAGTGCCAGCTCAGCATTACAATAGGCATTGTTAGGTAGGCCTGGAGGACAAGACTCGTTTGTCTGAGAGGGGAGAAGAGGCAGGCCGACCCACCTGCAGGAACAGGGAAGCTGGGTGCTCCTCCCTGTGGAAGGCGTTGGGGGGACTGCGCAGGGTGAGGCACCCGCACTTTCGTGGATGAGAACATCTTCACATAGGCTTTTAAACAAGAATATCTACAAAATAGCTCTCAAGAGCAACTTCCCTATCCCCACGCCCAGGGTTCTTGAGTTATTGTTTTAAATTAAAAAAAAAAAACTATATAAAGATTTAAAATTCAATTTGTCTGAGGACCGTAGGAATCCTGGGGTTCTGGAATGGAGAGTGAGGTGTCCCTGTGGACAGATTTTTAACACATGTGCAGTCACAAGATAAACAGGTACAGAAATAAATCGACCTGTGTGCATACGTGAGTTGGTATGTAAACATGCTTCTCAGTTTGGTGCACTGAGAGGCTAGAAGCTGGGAGCCCCCAGTCGCAGTGAGCACCCAGAGGCCGCAGATCTTGGCTTCTAGATACCTTTCTCTGATAAAAGAAATCAGGGCTCCTTGGAGAACCAGTTAATTCCAGGGGTGAGAGACGGATGCTGGAGTGTCTTGTGGTGGTGAAAGTTACTGGAGAAATCCTAGGACAGGGGTGGGCTTAGGAGAGGCCCAGGATCCAGCTAGGAAGAGCTCTTCAATCCCAAAGATGAGAACTTAAGGAAGAAGAGGAGTACTGGTAACAGTGGTATCTAGTATATAAGAAGTGACACCTCTTCCTTGTACGAGATGGCTGGGGCCCAGCAATCCATGTTCTAAAGCAAGTTTTAGCAAATCATATCGATACTATGACCTAAGGAATTCAATCACTCCATCACGTGACTGAGATTATGGATGTCTGAGTATCATGTAGTCAGGAGCACCAAGCACACAAGCCCCAAGGACAAGGGGCAGATGGAGACTGGCGTCACCAAGAAAGCAAGTCCAAGACTGGAAGAGCTTCAGAGTTTTCAAGGCAGGTGAGAAGTACAGATTTGGGGACAGGTATTGGGGGGACCAGGGATTGAACTCAGGGGCTCTCTACCACTGAGGCACATCCCCAGCTCTATTTTGTGTTTTATTTAGAGACAGGGCCTTATTGAGTTACTAGCACCTTGCTTTTACTGAGGCTGGCTTTGAACTCATGATCCTCCTGCCTCAGCCTCCCAAGCGGCTGAGTTACAGGCAGGTGCCACTGTATCCGGCGGGGGAAGTTACAGATTTTGATGCAAATATTCCTCAGCTGTGAAATCCAGGATGGGCCAATCAAAACAGGCCTCAGGGTGTGTGGAGAGCAAAGGCTGCCCAAGTTAACCCCTGTCCTTGGGAAATCAAGTCCCCACATCAGTTCAAGTGAGCAGGATGAAAACACAGAGAAGGGAGAGGTGGTGAGCACTCTTACTTATTCATGAATTCCTTCCCAAGCATGAATAAGTCACCAGGAGCCTGTTCTCCATTCTGAATGAGGTCAGCAAAGACTCACCTTTTCAAAATACCAACCAGTCCAGAACAGACCCTCATTATTTAGAAGATGCTGCTATTTTTTTTTTTGTTGTTGTTGTTCTTCCCCAAAAGAGTGAGTTCAGAAGTTCTACTGGGCTGTGTGATTCAAGGACTCCACACCCGGCCACGGCCCACCGCCATTATTTTCTCCCTTCATCTGGCGGGCAAGTAACCCGTGGGAGAGTCCAGAGGCTCCTCATCTCGTCTCAGTCTGTCAGTCCTGCCCTCTAGAACTTATGGCCCAGCTTGCTGGAGAGACCTAATGGGTATCAACAAGACGAATGCCTTCAAACATGCACCAAGAGGAGCCGAGAGCCAGGTGGCTTGCATGCGTGGGGCACGGGGTTCGATCCTCAGCACCACATAAATAAATAAAATAATGGTATTAGGTCCATCTACAACTAATTAACAAAGAGTAGTGGGCAACACACAGAAATGGAGGCACCCAGGAAAGAACAGGGTCCCCGCAGACGGCCCTTCCTATGACGAAGTGAGCTTCCATGCAAGGGGCTGGCATGAGGGGCCATCTGCAAGTCCCAGGACGGTGGCTTGCATCGCTGTTAGAGGAAGTCTTTCAAGATCCAGTTCCCACCCCCGGCCTGTGTTTCATCGACCCGGAGCCCAATATAAGCACGGGAGACTCTTAAAAGCTTCCCAGGGGATTGCAATGTGTGGCAAAGTTTGGGGACCCCTGACCTGGGAGGGTCTGAGGACAGCAATGAACCATCAACTCTGCCAGTGGGAGAGACCCAGGGACCCAGAGTGAGCCCCAGCATGCTGTCCCTGTCCTGTGACCAGCACCCTCTCCTCTAGAGAACCAGTGGATTCAGCCCATGGACCAACTCCCCACAAGGGGCTGGAATTGCTTCTCCAGGGTCTTCAGAGTCTTCAGACCCTGAGTAACAGAATTACCTAGGTGGACAGGCCCGGTTCCAGACCTAAGAAACCAGGGTGTTGGTGAGAGGCCACGGGAACAGACCTGTGCAGAGCTCGTCCCTGAGTTCTGAGGTACAGCAGAGTCTGGAATCCACCCATAGAAGTTTCCAATATCTACCTCCCCTGAGCCTGTAACCATTCCACTTGTTTATTTATTGTTTTTGGTACTGTGGCTCGAACCCAGGGTGCTTGACCACTGAGTTACAGCCCCAGCCCTTTTTTATTGTGTATTTGAGTGAAGAAGTTCTCACTAAGTTGCTGAGACTGGCCTCAAACTTGCCATCCTCCTGCCTCAGCCTCCAGAGTCACTGGGATGACAGATGAGTGTCACCACTGATCCTCTGTGTTGAGTTCATTGGAACATTTTATCTATTTTGGAATTTATAACACATTATTAATAAATAAGTGTATTAGAGAACACCAGAGCCCCTTCCTCCTGTCCCACTCTGGCTTTGTACCTGTTGACCAACATCTGCTCTCTCCCCATCCACCTTCCTTCCAGCCTCTGAACCATGGATGTCCTCTATTTCCCTGAGTTTAACTTAGTTTTACATTCCACCTCTGAGTGAGGTTATACTACAGAGGTTCCTTAAAACCTAAAAATGGGGCTGGGTGTGGTGGCGTACACCTATAATTTCAGCGGCTCCGGAGGCTGAGGCAGGAGGATCGTGAGTTCAAAGCCAGCCTCAGCAACAGCGAGGTGCTAAGCAACATAGTGAGACCCTGTCTTTAAATAAAATATAAAATAGGGCTGGGGATGTGGCTCAGGGGTCGAGAACCCCTGAGTCCAATCCCTGGTACCAAAAATAAAAATAAAAATCCTAAAAATGGAAGGGCCACATGACCCAGCAATCCCATTTGTGGATATACATTACCAAAGAAATGGACATCAGTACAGTAAAGAGACCTGTGCTCAGGAGGACACGGAAACAACCTAAGTGTCCATCAACAGATGAATGGGTCCTTTAATGGGGTGATATACACAGTGGAATCGCTTTTCAAAGCAGGAAACCCTGTAGCTGAAGACAACACAGATGAGCCCAGAGAATACCATGTCAAGTGAAATCAGTTAGGCACAGAGACACCAATGACGTTGTTCACCCATTCTCATGCAGTCGGAAAGGTCTTTGGGGGGCCTCTCGGATGCGATGCAGGGTGTCAAGCACTGAAGGCACCTGTCCCTAAGGTAGATCAACCAACATTATCTCCAGACCTTGCCAAGCCTCCCCTGGGGGGTGGGGTGTCAAAACTGTCCTCAGGCGAAAGCCTCTGTCTGCTCTAGATGTCCCCAGGATTATCTGATAACTGCTCCTACTTGGAGGAGCAGAAATCCCGCCCAGGTCTACCTGTAAGGAAGTGACTAAGTCCGTTCCTCTTGAAAGCCCAGCACCCTCTGAGCTACCAGCCCATTTCCAGTGCCAAAGAACGCTTCCCAGCGCTTCTTGTATCCTGATGAGGCAGATTTATTAGAGCCCAGGACTCCATAAACAATGTCAGATATTCATCAGCCACAAAACGAAACCCAGCAGAGGAAGTGGCCACGGAGAGAGCCCTCTCGGGAGGATCCCGCCTCTCCTGACCACGCACGGGATCCAAACTAGGCAGTCTGGTTGCTCTAGTTAAAATTCCCCTCTGGGAAGTCTAGGGCGTTTCCTGCACAGCAGACCCCTGGGCTGGGTCTCACCCCTGGCTCCCCATGTCTCACCTTCTCTATGCTGTCTCTGGGGACCCCATCAGCACATATGCCCAGCCTGTTCTTGCTGTCTTAGTGGTCAGTTGTGGAAATGACCGAGTGCTAGATTGACAGATCAATGGCGGGGGGCAGGGGTACCAGACTTGAGCTAACCTGGGCCTCTTCATAGGTTTGCACGTAGCGTGATGTTAAGATTCACTTTGTGGAGGAACCTGACTACGAGAGGCAGAGGTAAGGGGCTGCCAGGGACCCTCCCACCAGAAAGGGTGGTGTCATTTCCATTCCATCATCCAGTGCACACAGATCCATTGCCTGCCGCCATGACCGGCGCTATTCTGCACACCAGGGACAGTGGGAACTCAAGATGAAGACCCTTGCCCTACAGGACTTTAGGGAATTTCTTGTGGATTATGTATGATTTTTAATGGACAATTTTCTTTAATTTGTCCCTTATGTCTGTCTGTCTGTCTGTCTCTCTCTCTCTCTGTCTCTCTCCCTACAGCAGTGTGGACTGAACCCAGGGCTTCTGCATGCTGGGTAAGAGTTCTGCCATGGAGCCACACAGTCCAGAATTTTTTCTTTTTCTTTTTTTGGTACTGGGGATTGAAATCAGGGGGCACTTAACCACTGAGCCACATCCGTACCCCCTTTTTTATAGTTTATTTTGAGGCAGGGTC